TGTCTTCTTTTTTTTTTTTCTCCATTTTTGTCTTTATGACCAACACCTCAATTGATATAATTATCTTGCCGTTATGCTCATGTTTATATCCTTTATTCTTCTGAAAAAAAGCATATAATAGTAAATTTCCCTACGTATGTAAAATGCTCCATACTCAAAACTTCAGGAAAAACATATGCAGATAAAAAAAAAAAGTAACAATATTTAAGTAATAAGTTAAAATAAAATTTTGGGTATAAAAATAAAAATAAAGTGAGCAAGAATTGATAATATTATGAGAATAATAAAGAGTAATCTTATAATAAGAGAGATGTGTAAAAAGTAAATTTAATCCTTTTAAATTTATGTGGATGTATTTAAAAAATGCGTGTGGAGAATAAAAAAAGGAGTGTAAATAGAACTATAATTAAGTCATGATATAAAGTAGTTGGACAGCCTAAAAGTACCATTTAAAACATCTAATTGCATGCAACATCAAACCTCATCCAAAAACTGTTCAATCTTTACGACCATTAGGCTTCGTTCATTTCACCGATTCGAGTTTTCAGTTTTAGGTTTTTACAGTAAAAAGCTATCAGAAAATATCACATTTTACTTTTTCTGCTACAGTGAAAATCTCTCTGAAAATGTCACATCTCAGCTCAAATTGAAAACTCGAATCCGCGAAGTGAACGAGATTTTATTTCTCAGAGTCATAGGGGACCAAAATCTCAGAAAAAAGCCCTAGTGAATTGAGATGAGGGACCAGCTCTTGTGGATAAAATGCTTCAAAAAAAAAAGAATATAAGAAGAAGAAGAAGTAAGGAAAAACGATTCTTTCCATTGAGTTGTGACTTTCAAAGCCTTCTGTTTCCATTTTTTCCTGCCGGTGCAAAGGACACGAGAATCTCGTTTTATGTCTGATGAAACTCCAACCTTCTCTTTTTGTGCTTCTTCTGGGTGCAAATTTTTCTTTGCCTCTATCTAATTGTTCGTCATCTACTTTGGACCAATTACACGTCAGTAAAAAAGTGTGAATGCAAATGTAATAGATTCTGGTTTGTTTGTTATTTTCGTCAGCCTTTGCCCTTCAAAAATGTATATGGGTTCAAATTAAGATTTTTGATTATGACTTTTAAAAATTTTTTTTTTGGTGAGAAAAAAATAATGTAGAAGAACATAGCTTAAATGTTTTTAACCGACCCTTTCTATTATTTGAAAATTCTTTTGTTTGATCAATAGTAACCAACTAAAGGCCCGTTTAGTTCGCTGATTCAAGTTAAGATGTGATTTTATGTGATAATTTTTTACCGTAGTAAAAAAGTTAAATTTGACTGTTTTTGAGAATTTTTTACTGTAATAAAACTCGAATTAGTAAAATAAACGGGGCGTAAAGGCGCTCATAATTCATTCATGTTGTCAATGAAACTCTCTGTTACTAGTGCAATGAGTAGTAGTATAAAAGGTATGTGATGCCATTCCATGCATGGGGAGTGACATTTAAGATTTTTGAACACGTCCTCTGTTAGGCTTAGGCCTAATAAAAAAAGGGTCAAAAACCCACATAACTTTTAGGAACTAGGAAGTAAAGTGGGGGTTGGGCTAAAGCCTGTATAAGGATGCCAAGGCTCTTAGTATTAATCGCACCAGTCATAAGCAATTAAAAGTAGGAAAATAGTATAAAATTGGCAAATATAAAAACCTTTGCCAATTTTTAGTTATAAAAATTAATGTGCCATAACTTGTCAAGTTATAGTTCATAGCCAGACAAGTTATGGATAAAAACCGTGAATAACTTGTTAAGTTATGGTTCATAACCAGACAAGTTATTGACGAAAACGGTAATTTGACCTATTTATTAAGGCCTATTAATTTTAATTCATCTCAAGTCTTGGCCTATTTCTCTATTTCTCCCATTAAAGTATTAGCCTCTGATTATAGTTAAATTCCTTTTTTGGTTCTTTAATTTATACTAATTTGATGATAAACAGAGTTTTGGAGTTTATGAAGGTTTTTAAATTTAATTAGCTCCTAATTGGACCTAGGCCCGAATCGAAATTACTCGTTCTCATTTCTTGTACGGCCTTAATCTCACGGCAGAGCTCTAGGATCATTCTCTAAAATATTGAAAATTTGACCAACGAGTTGTAATTAAACGCATAATGAACATAAATTAGCTTCTAGAATTTGGAAAAAAAAGAATAACTTATTATAAACGCATGGTTGGAGCAACCTGGCTAGAAAAGCCCAATAAAAACTTGCACGAGCTGTGTTTGATTCATATGAGAAGTCCATTTTGATCGTCCCATTTCATAGCCATGAAAATGCTGGCATAAAAAAGAAGTCCAGCCTAACTATAAATACGTGATTGCATCATAATTTATTATCTTGCTTTATTTGTTACATTTTTTATAAAAAAAACTATTTTTGTCTCTTGGAAGTATAATCACTTTGCCCGTGAACTTCAAGGAATGACATGTGAACTTTTAAAACGTTAGCAAAAGAAGGGCATATATGTCTATACTCCCTCTCCCTCCAAATATAATTGAAAGGTCGTTTAGAAAATTGAGGGTTATGCTGATGACAATTGTACATTTTTATGATCGAGTCGTTTTTATTACGTTGTCGTTTTTCAATTTATTGCATTCTTCATCTTTGCTATCGTTTCCATGTAATCTTATTGTTTCTTAACGTTTAGAAGTAAAATAAAAAAATAAATAATGTTCATAAATCTCTATCAAATAGTGTTTTCTAAAGACATTTTGTTGCTTTAGGGTTTTTTTTTGCCGTTATTAACATTTGTCGTCTTTAATAATTTTTGTCGTTCTTCAAAATCATGTTGTTTTCTTATAGAAAATGCCGTCGTTTCTTAAATTGTCGATTTTATACGCTGTTTTCTTCCTTAACAAAAATAGTCGCTTTTTTTTTTTTTTTTTCAATTGTTGTTTTTTGTTTGGCATATTTGTCGTTTTACAAAATTTCTATGGTTCCGTTTTCATAATACACACACATTTAAAAATCTTTCCATAGATTACAAGCACTGGTCAAGTCAACTAAGCCAATTTTTAATCTGTTCTCTGATCCTTTTTTTCTCTTTTTAATTCGAGGGAAAATCTTTAATCTTATCTGATACAAGATAAAACCCTGCCCATTTGTCCACTGCATTCAGACTGAACAATAAAACCAAGTCTACCGAACACAATTGAAAACTAGTTACTCGCTACAACTAAAAACGGAAATTCCAACTCCTTTTCTATTAAACAAATATTGCTGACTCACATTGATAGATAACACACACGAGAAGCAACAAGAAACCTCTAACAGGTAGGGACGGCAACGGGGCAGGGCGGGATGGGAAATGATTTACCATCCTCATTCCCACCCTACAAAACCATTCTCATTTCCGCTTCCATTCCCGCCTTGTTGAGGTGTCGTTCTTCATACCCATTTTATTTCTCATCGAATGTAATTAAGTATTTTAAAATTATTGTAACTTAAAGTAAAAATATATTAAAAATTTAATATAAATTTAGACCGAAATTAAAAATTCTTCAATACAAATTAAATTCAAAATATATGCAAAAAAAAAACAGTATATAAAAATATATGTATGCATATTTATATAAAATATATTATATTATATACAATATATGCACATAGGGACAATAACGGAATAGAGAGTGCTTATTTCGTCCCCACTTTGCTATGTTTGATAGGAAAGAAAAGTAGAAAGAAGAAAGAAAGTGGAGAGATTTAGGAGAGAAAATGGAAATTTTAGGTTGTTTGGTTGGAGAGAAAAGAGAAAAGAATAGAAAATTGAGTAGAAAATAATATATGTGGGTCTCACTATTTTTCTTCTTTTCACAAGTGGGCGGAAAATAGAATGAAAAATAGGGATAACTAATTAGAGTGAGTAAAATTATTAAACTACTCTTTTCTCCATCAACATCCAAGTAAAAAATTTAAAGATATAAAAGTAATTTATGAGTAAAATTTTTTCTTTCATTCCAATTTAACTTTTAATATCAAACAAGTAAAAATAAACTCATTTTCTTTTCATCTTTTCATACTAAACAACATAAAAAAAATTAATTTCTTTTTTATAATTATTATTTTTTATCACTTTCATATTTTATTTTTATTATATTTTCTTTCTTTCTTACTGATCATAACATGGGAGAGAAAATTTTATCCCCATCTCCATTCTCATTTCCTATTATTATCTTTCATTCCCACTTTATTCAATACGAATCCCCGTAGGGCCGTCCTACGGAGAATATAGCCATCCCCACCCAACAGGTACTCTGACAGAAAACTTCCGAGAAATTGCCACGAAGACTTTCCGAATTTTCCCCCTCATTGACTTAATTGTTTGGTCTTTCATAATCGTCCTTTTCTAAAAGACAAAAACATGAATTTTCTTCTGTATCGAATTTCACGACATCCTAATCACACCAAATTCAATTATATGTAAATCCAACGGTTTAAAAATTATGAGTGTTCTTAATTTGTCAGTCCATTAGTTGTCTTTTTAATACTAAAAACGCGTTAGAAATTTATTTCAAAATAAATTTATTTTTATATAAAAATAAAAATAAAAATATTTTAATTTCAAACAAAAATTATTTTTAAAAATGCGCTTAATAATTTTATTAAAAAATTATTTTTAATATAAAAAATTTTATTAATGTCTCTCTTTCTTTTTTTCTACTCAAAAAAGAAAAAAATAAAAATAAAAAATATTAATTTTTTTTTATTTTACACTAAATTAAAAAATTATTTTTTATTTTTATATTTTATTTTTATTACGTTAAACGCTACTTTAAAATTTTTTTTTTTTTTGAAAAATGTGAAAAGTGGAAACAGGATAAGGCCTAAGTTTTCGTATTAATAACAAACAAATGAAGTGTCAAAGTCAAACAAGACAAAAATGGGTGATGAATTTGAACTCCAAAAAGTGCAACCTACAAACATTTATTCTTCATTAGTGTGAAGCTAGCTAGAGCACACAGCTCTCTCAAATGGCGTCGCCTACAGCCATCCAATTCATAGAGTTAGCCCTCTTCAACTCCAACACAACCACTTTCAACCTCTCTTACTCCGACCCCCACCAAAAATGGATCATAAGAAACCACCTCCTTTCTCTCCTCCAAGAATTCCCCACCTTCAGTCCCTCCTTCGGCACATTCGTCCACAACGACGGCACTGCCGTCACCCTCCTCTGCGTCATTGGCGACCTCCGCGTCACCGCCTCCACGCCTCCCGTCCCCCTCACCATCTGGCTCCACCAAAACCACCCTCTCACGCCTCCGATGGTCTTTGTCGCCACCGCGGAAAGTAAAACCAATACGATTCGCAATGGTCACCCATTCGTCCACTCCCCCTCCGGCTCCACAACCTGTCCGTACCTCGAAACCTGGGCCCACCCACGGTGCTCCCTCTCCAGCCTCGTCCGGAACCTCGCAAAGCTCTTCTCCCACGACCACCCCTTCGTCATGCTCTCCCATAAAAACCACGCTTTTGCCCACGTTTCCCTCGTGTCCAAAAGAGAGGCGCTTGACCGGCTGGTGGGCTCGGTTCACTACGACGTCGCGTCGTTCACCGCCGCCGCCGAGAGAGAAAGGCTCGCGCTGGCGGAACTGCGGGCGGAGATGGTGGAGAGAGTGAATGTTGTGGAGAGAGTTATAATTGGCGGGCTTGAAGAAGAAAAGAAGAGGTTGAAAATGAAAGTGTTGGAGTTGACTGAGCAAGCGGATGTGGTGATGAACTGGTTGAGAGTTAATTACGATGCCGTTAATGTTGGTGTTGGTGACGAAGGGAATGTCGAGAAGGCTTTTGAAGGGGTTGACGATGATGGTGGTGGTGATTCGGAGAAGTTGTTGGATTGCTTGGCGGCGGATAGAGCCGTGGAAGATGTGATATATGCGCTGGACAAGGCGGTGGAAGAAGGGGTGGTGAGTTTGGAAGGTTATATTAAGCAAGTGAGGGCTTTGGCTCGAGAACAGTTTTATCATAGGGCGATGTTGGTCAAATTGAGAGGCTCTGCCACCATACTCCATTGGCCTTGTTGACACCAAATTCGATCGAGCAATCTTATCCGACCCCATGTCTCATAAAAAGTGGGTCCACCTGTGAGATCTTTGTAAAGAGGGTGTGGATTTAACCCCTATATAACATTTTTCAATTTGATTTGGTCTTTTTATTTTTGTTTTGGAAGACGCTTGATATGTATGAAGTATCAACCAACTTGGTATTGGCCTATGCTTGATTTTGTAACTTGTTCAAAATTAGCATGTATAGATATATATTCAGAGATGAAGTCGTGTTTGGAATTGATTCTGTTTTTATTTTTTACGTTTTCCGATAAAAAAAAATGAAAACGTTTTTAAAACGGCGTTTGGCGTAATAAAGATAAAAAATAGAAATGAAAATAATTTTTTAATTTAGTGTAAATTGAGAGAGAAATGAAAAATGACTTTTAGTGTTTTTTATTTTTTGTTTTCATTTTCTCCTATCTCAAGCAGAGAAAGAGAAAGAGAGACATTAATAGGTTTTTTTACATTGAAAATAATCTATTGATAAAACTACTAAACGCATTTTCAAAAAAGATTTATGTCTGAGAATGAAAACGTTTTTATTTTTATTTTCATACAAAAAATAAAATTATTTTAGAATGAGTTTCAAACACGCAATGTGATTGTTTGAAAACTTTGTGATAATATAATTGATAGCTATTGAATATGTGATGTGATGGATATATAACGTTTCTTTGTAATTTCTGAAAATGAGATCCGGAAAGATTGTTTGAGGTTTCAACAGTTTACTAATATGCATTGACTTTTATGAGTGAGCATAGATGAATTCTTAAGTTGAGGCTTTTACGATAAAAGGCTAAATTCTTTTATTATATTGTTGATTTCTTGAATTCAATTTAATTTATTCTCTTAGAGTGAACGAATAATTGGACATTTTCTATTCTAAAATGAACTCAAGGTACTTAATATACGGTTTTTAAAATGGATTTTTACCAGTACAATGTATTTCAAGGTTTTTTAAAATGAATTTTTACCTGTATAATGTATTTCAGGATTAGTTCATAAATATATTATTGATTTTTGTTCGTTGTACTTGCAAGTTTATACTACTGAATTTTGATTCTTTGACTACCAAAACAATGAAGAAAATATATACTTAAGAGACAAAAAAAAGGGATTTTTTTGGGTGTTCTTTTCTTTTTGCAACACCGGTATTTTCTGTTTTTCAGCCGTCAGATCTGTATGAAAATCTATTTATTCTGTAAAATATTTTTAATTTAATGTGATTTTGATCAAATTTAGTGACTGAAAAAACATAGAACGCCGATATTTCCTTCTTTTTGGGAACACGTGAGAAATACACAAAAAAAGTACACATTCACTTTTGCTTCTTTTTTTTTTTTCATTCATTCTTTTGATTTTTTTCCTTTTATTTTCAATGGTGTTTTCATCGTTCTTTGGTAAAAATAACAAATTGATCAAGGACAAGATTTACATGTGCCTATTTAATGTAATTTAATTGTATACACTTGTAACGGTTGAAAACGAAAGATATATTTTGTAAATAATCATAAAATACAAGATAAAAATAAAAAAAAATTATTTGCAAGACATTATTATTAGAACACAAAAATATCAATATAATGAACAGAAAAATTATAAAAAAAATCCCATAAAAAAATTATAAAATATGGAGATAGTAACTTCCACATTTTTTTAATAATCGGGTAAGGTAGTCCATTACCATTACAGAATAATGCTATAAATTACAATATGAGGGTAGTAATTTTTCTATCTTTCAAGAATGGGGTAATTTTTTACTTTTTATAATTACAAAATCAAGTTAATCACTAAGGTCCTGTTTAGTTTGCTGATTCGAGTTTTTAATTTGAATTGAGATGTGATTTTATGTGAGAGTTTTTTACTGTAGAAAAAAGTTAGATGTGATTGTTTCTGAGAGTTTTTTACTGTAACAAAACTCGAATTGGTGAAATGAACGAGACTTAAAACATTATCAAATTCCATAAATGATAAATTTTTTAATTCTACTAAAAAATTAATTCAAAAATAAATATAAACCAAATTTATAATAAAGAGCCCGTTTGGTTTATGGATTAGAATTATTTTCGATTTACGTGTGTTTTTTATGAGAGAAAATACTGTAACGAATCATGAACCATGATTCAAATCAGAGAATGAATCTTCTAACCAATCGGGCTCAAAGACTTCTTTTATGGAAAGATTTATTATAAAGACAACTAAATTCATATTGTTAGGTTGTTCTTTTGCAACGAAACTTATAAAAAGTTTGAACTCGAGTTATAACTTTATTCAAGTTCATATTATTTTATAAAATTTGAGTTTGAACTCGAGTTTGAGGCTAAACTCGAGTTTAAGGACCCGTTTAGTTCACTAATTTGAGTTTTTAATTCAAGTTGAGATTTGAATTTATGTGAGAGTTTTTTACTGTAGCTAAAAATAAGATGTGATTGTTTCTGATAACTTTTTACTGTAGCAAAACTCGAATTATAAACTGAAATCGGTGAAATGAACGAGACCCAAGTTTCCCTTTCAACTCGAGTTCATAAACTCGAACTCAAATTAATGAACAATATTTTTTCTATTCTTAAAAATATCATAACTTTTTCGTTTTAATTATGATTGAGATGATTTTTTTTTCTATGCATTCACAACGAAAAGACGAATAAAACTCTACCCATATACCCTATTAAAATTTTTCATCACTATTGAGTTTTTATTAAAATACTATCTAAATATAAATTTAAGTTTTGACCCACCTAAACACAAACTTAAAAAATATTATCAATTCAAATCATAACTCAAATGTGTATATCTAAACATAAACTCAATTTACAACTTTAACTCAAGTTATAACTCAAACTCAACTTAAAATTACCACTCAAGTCACCATAATCCGTTCACTTCACTGATTCGAGTTGAGATGTGATTTTGTGTGATAACTTTTTACTGTAATAAAAAAATTAGATGTGACTGTTTCTGAAAATTTTTTACTGTAGCAAAATTCGAATCGACGAAATAAACGGTGCAAAAGAACAAATGTTTCTTGCAAAAACAAGACGAGAGAAAAATTGCACATTCAAAGCATGGTAAGAATCAGACAACCAATGACTCTTACCAATTCCGTGGAAGTAAAATTCCAACCAATCGGAGGGCTTCTATCATCTACAAACAAGTACAGCCCCCAAATCCTGAGCCCGTCTCTGCAAATGCAAATTGCAAAAGCAAAAGAAAAACCACCCGAACGTTGATCCGCGATTCCTAACGTACACCTCCACCTCTTTCCCTTCCTTCCTCTCTTTCTCAGATCCCATTCCCTCTCCATTTCTTCTTGCTTATTTTCTTTGCATTCTTATGGCTGATTCGTCCGTACAAATCGCCTTTGACTTTATCCCATTGGGGAGGTAGCTTTTGAACTTTCTCTCTCTCTCTCTCTCTCTCTCTCTCTTCGTTGTTCTTCAGCTATGGAGGTTTCTCCTTGGTTTTTGATTTTCTCGATTTGTTGTTGCCTTTTCGCATCTGGATCGTTGTCGGTTGAGGATTTTAACCAGGCGTAAGTCATTTCCTTACTCTGTCTTTCTAGATTTCTCGAATCACAAGCTCTCACATTTTCCTGCTTAGAATGACGATATTTGCATTTATTTGAATTGTTTTGAACTTTTTTCTGCTCTATGATGCTTGAATTTGATCTTTTATGCTAAATTGTTGGGCAAGGTGAAGTTTCTAACATGATTTAGTAGTTAATTGTCCTGCCATTTTGGTATTTTTTTCCCCTGGGAATGCAAGATTCTTATTTTTGGCCCAATCTGCTAAAAAACTAGCAATTCAGTTTGTTATCTCGTATCTAATTTGAATAATTACGCAGTTTGAACTTTGGAAGACTTTATTTAATGCCATTTGAGGTTGCTAATTTCTCTAAAGACAATAAGCTATTTGATGGGTTGCCCACATTAGTATTCATATTGGATGGCTACTTTGACATGTGGAAAATTAATATTTTTGAACATCAAAACGGGTTGGGCATAATTTGAACTCAGGCAGCAATAATAGCTCATTTGGAAACTTCTGCTATATGTGTATGCAGAGCAAAGGTTGTAAATAGCTATAACGGGAGTATTACCTGGTTGTGCTATCTTCTGTAGCTATAATTTTTTTTTCCTCTCCTTGTATATGGCAAGCACCATACCTCTGGTGCTGAAATTTTACTCGGGCTTAAGTAGCTTATCCACTTATGGGAATATAAATATCTAGTCTTGCTTCATTCTCATTGTTATTTCTATACATGCACCTTCCATGGTGGATGCCAACTTCTGGGAACTTCTCAAAGGCTGTTGAACATAAATTCAATCTTCAAAGAACTGTACGTTTGAAATAATAAATTGAAACTTCAGCTACGAGAAACTTGCCCTTGTATTGGATTATTTATGCAGTACGTCTTTGTTCAATGGTCTAATTTGAAGGAGAAATTGCATACGCAGAGTGATGAGGAACATCATATATCATCTCTATATTCTTTCTCTGGAACTCTAAATAAGTGCTTCTTAGTTAGAACGTGATATGACAATGATGTCTTCTTATGTTGATATATTGATCGGATAACTGTAGCTCTTTGGCCATAATAATTGCTTTATGGCCAATACTAATCCTATTACGGGCCACAAAAGCTAATGCTTGTTTTCAAACTGTATGTGCAGGTTTCCTATTGTGGAACCTGATCCTGGTCATACTAAACTTCGTCTTTCACGGGAAGGTTTGGAGGCTATTCAGAGGATAACAAATCCAATTTCGGCTGTTGCAGTAAGATGAATTTCTTTAGAATACTAGCATGTAAAAGCTACATAAGTAATTAGGTTTTTGTTTTTCAAAAAGAAGTATATAGGTGCAGAGAATGGTTTCGGTCTCCACATTCATGTATTTTGATCAGTTTTTACTTTCTGGAGGAATGTCTTACAGCAATTAGTATTTGATTTCTTATCCCGTTTATTTTGTCTTGACTATATCAATGGTGACGTGTTTAGGTTATTGGACCTTACCGCTCTGGAAAATCTTTTTTGCTTAATCAACTTCTCTCACTTTCTTGCGATGAAGGTGCTGTCTTCGTTCCTATTTCTTTATGTTTTTGTATATGATTGATCTTGTCTAATCAATCTTTCTGCATAGTTTGGCTAGCTTGAATTATTAAGTCTTGAAAATTTCGAATGCTTTTTCCCCAGGGTTTGGTGTTGGACACATGCGTGACACAAAAACAAAGGGTAATATACCTGGACCTGAAATGACAAACATGCCTTATCATTTTGCTTATTTATGTGTATATCGGGGTTAAAATACAGTGTATTTCTGTTTGTTTCAGGGATATGGGTATGGGGAACCCCGCAAGAATTGACTATTGATGGAGTAAAAACTTCTGTGCTTTACCTTGATACTGAGGGATTTGAAAGTATTGGGAAGTCAAATGTATATGATGACCGGTAATCTCTGCTCCAAAATACTGTTTCTTTTGTTCTGCCTTTCCTTATTTTTTAGCTCATCTTTGGAGTCCCTGAGACTGCTATTGCAGGATTTTTGCTCTGGCCACTGTCATGAGTTCTGTACTTATTTATAACCTGCCTGAGACGGTTAGTAAATATGCCTTTGATGTTATTATTTATTCATGTTAGGTATCCCAACTGTTTTTTCGCTTCCTTGTTGGACATTTGCCTTGTCACACTTGATTCTCTTTTGCCAAATTATTAACTTCATGTTATTTTGTGTAGATACGTGAGGCTGACATCTCTCGGCTGTCATTTGCAGTTGAGCTTGCTGAAGAATTTTATGGAAGGTTCGCACCTTTTTGAAAATTCTCTTTACCAAGCATTTTAAGTAATGATCTTGGCTTAGTGAGTTATTGTCAAACTAATTTGTTTATGGTTTGTTTTCTGTGAATGGGAAACAGAGTGAAGGTAATTTACAAGCCCTTGTCATCATTGTTTTCCACCAGACTGCGTTTCTATGAATTCCAGTGAAATTTTGTGTCAGCACATCATGACACATGATACTTTTTATAGGGGCAAGATGTTGCTTTTGAACCTGCAAAGCTTCTGTGGCTTATTCAGCGTGATTTTCTACGTAAGTCTTGAAACGGTTGCCTTTGATATATGTTCTCTGTGTAAGGAAACTGATCCATCATCATAGGTCTTTATATCTTAGAGCTGAATTATGTTTAATTGGGAATGTTGTTGGTGTTCTACAGAAGGAAAATCTGTGCAACAAATGGTGGATGAAGCTCTCCATCATGTCCCAAATAAAGAAGGTTAGTTTTTTTCTCTATGCACTTGGTTTAAAATGTAAGCTTTAATTTGTAATTGTCTTACTGCCATTTGTAACTGTAAGACAAGGTTTAACAGTGGGTGTCTTTTTCAAATGCAGGGGACAAAAATATTGATCTGGTATGTTCTCTGTTCTGATATTTGTTTTTGCAATTATCAAATAGACATCACTTGCAATAAATTAAATTGTTTTGTGTCCTTATCAGATTAACCAGATTCGGGATTCCTTGGCTATCATGGGTGACAACAGCACAGCATTTAGCTTACCACAAGTAAATATTTTGTCATGATTCGTTTTTCTTTCTTTTTTGACATTTAATTTCGGTTCCGCTATGTCTATGATTTGGTGTATAAACTTACATAAGCTCATAATTTCTTGCGTAAATATTTGTGTTCATGTGTCCTGGAGGCTATGTAATTATTTTGTTATATATGTCCTGTAACCTTGACTCATCCAATTCTGTCATGATTCTGATCCTTTAAACAGCCGCATCTTCAGCGAACAAAGCTCTGTGACATGAAGGACCGCGAGCTTGACCCATCCTATGTTAAGAAAAGGGAACAACTAAAAGAGGTTGTTTCTAGTATTATTCGTCCCAAGATTGTGCAGGGCAAAGCTCTTAATGGAAAGGAATTTGTATCTTTTCTAGAGCAGGTACCTCTTTGTTTTGATTAAGTATCTTTAAGAAGTGGACGCTGTTTTACAACTTGAAAAGCAAGTCGTCTCAATTTGGACGGTTGATGCAAAATTAGGGGAAAAAATATTCTATAAATGGCAATTCTTTATAAGCTGTGACTAGTAAATAGTTATAAACTTGACCAACATTCCTTCTTGATGACTTGTAAGGAGATCTACTAGTTGTGGGTGTGTGTATAAACTGCGCTTATCTTCTGTGACAATACTTGCCGTTTGATTCTTATTCTATGCATTTGAATACTTTCACATTCAGATCCTTGAAGCTTTGAACAAAGGGGAGATCCCATCAACAGGCTCTCTAGTCGAGGTTTTCAATAAGGGCATTCTTGAGCGATGCTTGAAGGTGTATAGTGAAACAATGGCAAAGTTGGGTTTACCGCTATTAGAGCAATCTCTGCAAGCTGCACATAAAAAATCTAGAGAGGATGTAATGAAACTTTTTGATCAGCAACATTTTGGCCGTCACCACGCGAAGAAATCGGTTATGCAGCTTGATGAAGAGATAGAAAAGGTATTGTTTGATCCTTATCAATCAGATAACTTTTTTTTTTTTCAAACGAATAAGCGTATAATCAGTTCATGGGTTTTTTTTTGTTTTTTGGGTACATTTGGAGGTCCTACCTAATATTCTCAAGTGCTCAAGTATTTAGGTGATTTTTAAGTGTCAGTAGGTCATTATGAAGATTATAACTTTCAAGAACGACTTATTACAATTTTCTGAATACCTGTCTTGGACCTTCTGAAATTCAGATTCAATCATTTTTTGTCATCATGCAGCTACTTATGAGTTGTGAATCACCCCTAGATTGGTCAACAGCAGGACGACAGCATTGGTTATTGTCCCCTGTTTAGAATTTGACTTCCACTTGTTAATATTGGCATCATCTCTTCCATGAATAAGCTAAAATTTGGCAATATGCCAGAACTAGAAGTACATATGTTAACTTGATTCAGAAATGTCATTTAGGTGTACAAGAATGTCATACTAGCAAATGAATATCAATCATCAAAGCTCTGTGAGGGATTGTATACGAGGTGTGAAGATAAGATGGATCATCTTCAAGTTCTGAGACTTCCCACCATGGCCAAGTTCAATGCAGGTTTCCTCCAATGCAACCAAAGTTTTGAGCAAGAGTGTGTGGGCCCTTCGAAAGGGAAATATGAGCAACGAATGATGAAGGTTTGGTCCGATTCTCATGTCAATTGCCCATATTGACCAAAACCATTTAACTTAAAATTATTTCTACGTGCTTCCTAAATGTGCCAGTCATTTTGATAAAACTGATATACCATAATGTACAAATTTTTGCAGATGTTGGGGAAGTCCCGATCGCTATTTATCCGAGAATACAATAACAGGCTCTTCAATTGGTTGGTGACCTTCTCCCTTGTCATGGTGGTGGTGGGAAGATTCATCATGAAGTTCATCTTATTAGAAATTGGGGCATGGGTGCTCTTCATCTTCCTAGAGACGTATACAAGGATGTTCTGGACATCGGAGTCTCTCTACTACAACCCAGTTTGGCATATGATAGTTGCCACTTGGGAAACAGTTATTTACAGCCCTATCTTGGATTTGGACAGGTAATATAAACTCAACTCTTTCACCTTTCTTTGCCCCTCAAACAAGGAATTCATGTCTTTTTGTAGTGAAAACTAAAAATTATTGCTTGATGGGAAGTGTTTTAATCATGAAGAAGAGGCTTCATGATGTGTCGTGAAACTAACGCTTGTTACTGGTAAATAGGTTGGATGAAACAGTAATTTTATGAATTTTGGCACGTATAACTTTCACAATGTACTTGATGAAATTTTTATGTGATGTGTATCATTGCTCATGTTTTGATTTTTTGTTCATTGTTTGGGACAGATGGGCCATTCCTCTTGGCGTAGGGGTATCATTATTTGTGCTTTATTGGCGGTGTTATGGCAAAAGAAAACATGGGTCTCGATGGCTATTACCCCTGTACAATAATCCAAAAAGCGGCCCACATCGGCGGAGGTCGGACTAAAAGAGAGAAGAAAGTGATGACATTCCTAGTGTTTGATCATGCACATCTCTTCATTGTTGTACCTGGGCGAGCTCTTCTTTTTTTAGTGGCATACAAAGCCCACCATCCTATTCTTTTAGTTCTTGATGGTACTTTTATACTGCGGAAAGATGAAAAGAAAGGTGAAAATGAAAATGGGTGAAGGATTAGGCTGATAACCTTTTACTGTCGTAGTACAAATGTAGCGTTAGCGAATTAATTGTATGTTTATGATACATTAATTGTTTCAAATCCAATCAGTTTCATATCCTTTTCTTTTTTTAATTTGCCAGAAAAATTCAATTCCCAAACTGTAAGATATTAGTATATTACTTGCATTCAATTCGTCTTGTGGATGAGTTATAGATTCCGCTAAATATCAATTTTGTTTTGCCTTTCTTTTGGCATGTGTGATAAATCAAATCAAATAAATAGCCATATTTCTTTATAATCAAGAATCAAAATCGGACAGGTTCGGCTTTTACTGTTATTTCCTTTGTCTGGGTTAGTTGCCAGATTATTCCCACTTGATGTATTCCAATTTGTTGTCGTTTTGATATGATGCATGTTTAAGATTTTAGATAGAATTAGAAGATTAGAAGAATACTACTCTTAGAGAGTACATATTCGAACATACTCTTCATATAAAAAGATTTGAGCATAATTTAATATAAAAATAGTATGAGTGAAGGAATAGTCTTAGTCCTTGATCATCTCACAATAAGTGTTATTGAGTCTAATTTACACGTGGTCTGATATTCACTGTCGTTTATAAATTCGTTATTGTTTTCCTATTGTTATGTTGTTTATTGTCGTTTTCGAATGTATTGTTGTATTTAAATTTGTTGTCGTCCCTCAATGTTAGTTCTTTTATTCCACGTGGTCTCTTTGTTCAATTTGCTGTCGTTTCTTGTGAGTGGTTCCCCAATCATGTCATTTTCAAATTCGTTTTGTTCTGGTTTGCTGTCCTTTCTTCATTTTGTTTTCGTTTATTTATTGTCGTTTATTGATGTCATGTCGTCTCCTTATAGTTGTTCCTTTTTCTGCTTGAACTTATAGTTGTTATGCTTAATTCTTATTTGATATTTATGCAATTTCAACTTCTTGTGGTTTTCTTGTGAGGTCATATTTTGTTCTTATGCCTTTCTTTCTCTAGTAGTTTTCTCATTCATCGTCTAATTCATAGGATGTTGTTTAACTTTATTGTCAAGTGCTGCGTTTATTTTAAGAGTTTTGCATAATTTAAATTATAATTTTTGATTTTGTTATAATTTTTTTTAAAAAAAATTTAAATTTCAAACGTTAAAATCATGATTTAAATCATAATTTTTAATTTTGTTATAATTTTTTTTTTAAATTTAAATTTCAAACATTAAAATCATGAAGAGTAATTTGAACTCATGTTCTTCATCTGATACTACTACTACTTCTTATTTGTTATTATTTTTTTATATCGTTATGGTCTGTCTTCATCGACGTCGTTTTATGGTTTCCAAATAAGGCCTAGGCCCATCCTTTTGTCCAAACAAAAGTTGATCCAAAACTATAAAAGGGCCCGTGTTTTGAGCATCAGCATCAACGTCATCCTCCGTCACCGAGAGCAGTGCTCCGAGTAAGTGAAAATCCCTTCTTCTTCAGTTATCTCACTGCAAGCAAAACCCTAGTTACAGTCCCCAAAATTCATGTTCAACGCTAATGGACGGTCACTCCTCCCACCTCACGGCGCCTAACCGCTCCCGAACCTCCCAGTCTCCGTCCCCTTCGCATTCCGCCTCCGCCTCCGCCACCTCCTCCATCCACAAGCGCAAGCTGGCGTCTGACGACCACGCGCCGCCCTTCCCTCCCTCCTCCTTCTCCGCAGACGCCCGCGACGGCGCCCTCACCTCCAATGATGATCTCGAGAGCATCTCCGCCCGTGGCGGCGGCGCCGATTCCGACTCCGAAGACGACTCCGAGGACGCCGCCGTCGACGACGACGACGAATTCGACAATGACTCCATGCGCAACTTCACCGCCGCGCGCCTCGAGAACAGCGGCGGCTCGGCGCCGGCGGCCGGGGCGCGAAACACGAAGCTTAAGGCGGAGAATCCGACCGTCAAGATCGAGAATTCCGAGGGCGGAAAGGACGGTGGCGGTGGGGCCGGCGCCGGAGGCCCCGCCGCTAACGCGAGTGGGGTCCAGGGAATGGTGGTGAAGGAGGACCCGACCAAGATATTTACTGAGAATTTGCAGACCAGTGGGGCGTATAGTGCTAGGGAAGAAAGTTTGAAGAGAGAAGTAAGCTCATCAAATTTCTCTCCTTTTTCGTTTTATAATTCACCGAAATTGACACATATTATGTGCCCTCTGTTCACTTCCTGAAAATTGTAGGAGGAAGCGGGAAAACTCAAGTTTGATTGCGTTTCAAATGATGGTATTGATCAGCATATGGTTTGGTATTTCTTTCTCTTTCTGTAGTCTTCGACATGGCATTTATGCAAGTTTTCGTTTTGTTTTTCTTTTCTTTTTTCCTTTCACTTTTGTTCAATGACCTATAAAAGATAGCTTAATTCCTATCGCAATGTTTAATGCACGCTTCTTTTTTCTTTTTTTTCAGGTTAATAGGATTAAAGAATATTTTTGGCAGACAACTACCTAACATGCCCAAGGAGTACATTGTCCGTCTCGTTATGGATAGGTAATACCAATAAAAATATTGGATTATGTAAATCGGGACGGTCAGGACAAAGCGTGATTTTTGGGTCCAGATTTCTCTTAGGAGTAAAATTAGAAAGTCCTTAATTTCACAGGTTGATACAATACCAAACATTGACTTGGAAAGTACCAAATTTCGTTTCTTTGGTGATAATTGTCATGGTATATAAGCGTATTTCGAGGAGCATGGCACATTAGTTTTATCCCAAGTATCAACTTTGTAGGAGCTTTAGCTGACTCTCTAGTTTTTTTGTTGCTACATCTGTCCCTTTAGCGTTTCTCTGTTTTGTTTTTGTTTTTCCTTAACCATTTCTTTAAAGCAAATTTAGAAGTTGTTGATGATGCCTGTATGTGTTACAGAAGCCATAAATCCGTTATGGTTATCAGACGTAATCAGGTTGTTGGTGGCATCACCTATCGTCCTTATGTCAGGTAAAGGTTTCGTCTTATATTCCAACCTTTTGCTTTTCTTCATGTTTTACCAATTTCCATAAAATTTACCAGATAGTACACTTTCTTTTCTTCATGTATATCTTAGGGATAGTTGTTGCTTGATGTACGAAGTATTGAGCCACTAATGACTTGAAAATGATTGCAGAACATCGTTGTGTATTGATTTATCCAAAGTAAAATCCATTACCATTACTAGAGAGCTATATGCAGGTTAAAAAACTGTTAGTGTAGTAACTAGTAAGCACATTTTGCAATTATCAAGAATTTTACCTCGTATGAATGAGGTAGTTGGGTCTACAATTTGGAGATTCCTTAGGGCCCATCCTTTGCGAATAACTCTGAGTTTTATGGTTCTCAAAGATAATAGGTTTGGTGGAGGGCTCAGTTTCGAGCTCAAGCCCACTAAGTAGGTTTTAGGGGATTTCTATGATATCCAAAATAATGGATTTTTTGGTCTCTTTTTTTGCACGTCTTTAATTGATTTTCTTGAAACGTTTAAGGTTTAGGGTTTAGGGGTCACTTCGTACTAATTTGAAATGATGTGCCGTTGTGAAACTCTGGTTATGTTGCAGTATGATTTTTCATTGGTGCTCATCACTGATTTTTTTTATTATTTTGTTATTTTATTTTTTCTTTGCAATGGAGTTACAGCCAAAAGTTTGGAGAGATTGCTTTCTGTGCAATAACTGCTGACGAACAAGTTAAAGGTTATGGCACTAGACTGATGAATCATTTAAAGCAGTATGCACGAGATGCTGATGGGCTTACTCATTTTCTCACATATGCTGACAACAATGCTGTTGGCTATTTTATTAAGCAGGTTGTGTTTTCTATTATTGATCACTTGGTATTAGTGTGTTGTCCTTGTTGTGCTTTAAGCTTTCTTGTTTCAACATCAACAACATAGGAGCACACATCTGTTTCTCTAGGAATTTTGGTTCGCACCAGTGTTGGTTTTTTGGAAATTTGTTCCCTCTAGTGTTTCTTTTTACACTCTTTAGTCAGAATTTGTTTTTATATAATGTATGAAATGCTGTCTTATAATTTGTAGGGTTTCACAAAAGAGATTCACTTGGAAAAAGATCGCTGGCAAGGGTATTTTCTATACAACTCCAGTTGTGTGAAGACAATTATCTATAGATTTCCAGTATAGGTTTCTCGATTTGCCTTTCATTAGCTTTGAGTTGTCTGGTAGGAAAGGCAGTAAAGAAAGGACCTGTCGTTGGGGGAGTGTTATTCTTTTATTATTATTATTATTATTAGGGAGAAGGGGTGGTGGATAAATTTGAGGTCCAAGTTTGTCCAAATTTCCAGATTTTACTGTTTCTTCATCTGCATCTCACTTTTTAAAAGATGTTACTTGTCAGCATCTCATCTCCTGTTGGATGGCTTGTAAGTGTATAATGATTGTGTCAGGTACATAAAAGATTATGACGGAGGCATCCTTATGGAATGCAAAATTGATCCGAAGCTTCCATATATTGATTTGTCAACCATGATTCGCCGCCAGAGGCAGGTAAGCATCAGTTGACATCTGTGTCAATATCTGTAGTTCTTATCTGGACTATTTTCAGCCCATTTTTGTTTATCTTGTATGTGTGAAGGTAAGTATCGGTTGACATCTGTGTCAATATCTGTAGGCTTGGTCAATAGATTCTTAAATAATAAATAGTAGTTACATACTCTGTGCGAACTGTCATGGAACAATATGCACTCAATAGTCATTTACGTATTTTTTCCTCCTGGGCAGGCAATTGACGAAAAGATAAGAGAGCTATCAAACTGTCACATTGTTTACCCTGGAATTGATTTTCAAAAGGTATAAGAATTTTCTACGCTCATATGGACTTCTATCAATTTGTATAATTTGTGCTAGCACTTCCTTCATCTTTCCCATGCAGTTTTAAAAACCTGTTATGCGTTGCGAACTATTTTAAAGAGTTTTTATTTTTATTTTCTTGGATGGTGTTTCTCTTTGTTCCTAGGCTGTTTTGATCAGTGATCACATAAACTATATTGGTTCTGCTTTGATTCCTTCCCCCCCTCCCCCTCTTTCAGAAAGAAGCTGGAATTCCTAAAAAACTAATCAAAGTTGAGGACATTCCTGGTTTGCGTAAGTTTTCTTCCCCTTTTTTTTTTTTTTTTTTATATCTTTTTTAAGTAGGCTTGAGAAAGATTTCACCTTTTTTTTTTTTTTTTTATATCTTTTTTAAGTAGGCTTGAGAAAGATTTCTGGCCGATCTTGGTTCAGTAGGTTAATTCAGTTGCAGCTGCAATCTTTTAGATTAAGAGTGTGTTTAGTAGTGCTTCTTGGAGCTCAAAATCACTTCTCTGACCATCAAAAGATGATAATGGTGTTTGGTAAAAATCATAAAAAGTGGCTTTTAAAGAATTTTTGAAGAATGTACAGTCAAAATCAGAAGCAGCCTAAAGACAACTTTAGCTTTTAGATTGTGCGGGAATCAACATAGTACAATTAATGATTATCAACAAAGTTATATTAAATAATTAATTATTAATTACTAATTATATTATATATTAATTAATAATTAATAAATAGATATACTTAATAACTAATAAATAGATAGTAATTACTTAATTATTAATTA